TAAACACAGACCGGACTATGCATGCGGGTAGGAGTGGGAATCGTCAGTACAGCCTCCTACCCGCCAAGTTTTTAATAGTTAACTTTGATAGCAACTGTAACTGTTTGAAATTTTTTTGGAAAATTTTCAATCTTAGCTGCTGCTTTTCTTGCAGACAGCCCCGCCATCGAGCAGTGCTAGCACAAGTACAGTGCGAACCGGACAAAACATCACTCCTTCGCCCTCACTTATACAGCAGGAATCACAAAAGCCAGCCGGAACAGTGGAGCAACAGCAGCAGTCTCAAGCTAATCTGGAATATTCAAGTGCAAACAGGTCATTTATGCAGCAGAATGCGCCTGTGGAACCCAACAAAATAGACGTAAGCTTGGAATTTCCTCTTTTATCTATGATGTATTTAGGGCGCAACGGGTTTTTCGATTTGAGATCGTGAAGTGGTTATCATGTTTTGACAGGTAATCAGGGGAGCCACTATGACGAGTTTTACCGGTGGAACGGTTAAGAATAAAGGAGAATTTGATAAAATGCTTTTAAAGCTGATTGGATTATCGATGTGGAGCCTGTATGTAGGAAGATAGCTACGAATTTCCTAAACCTTGCTCTCATCCAGGAAAATTTATTCAGAATTTAGAATGCGCATTTTAATGGGTATTTTTGATTTGGTGGCTTCGCATACGATTGAAAAATTTTTCACTTCACAAAATGTAATGAGTGGGTTATATTTTGGCGCTTTGTACATGTACCTGCGCGCAAGAGTTGATGTTTGCAAAAGCCACGAATTCTTCCTATAACACACAGCCAGAAACAATTGAGGTCATCTGAAATGTTTATGGAGTGATCATATCCCAGTAGAAACTAGTGACAACTGATATTTTCTTTTGCTTTTTATTTAAGTTTATGGTTTACGAAGAATTTGAGTTTTGCGCGCTTAGAATAAACTTCTGACGAGCAAAATGGCGCATACAACTTGCTTTCAATGAAATCGCTCAGCGAAGTTAGAAACGAAGCCACTGGTTGTTGTGTTAGAAAAATTGAAATGTTCTAAAGGCCGGAATTTTTAATAAGAAAGTTGTAATGGAAGGTCACTGATGGTTATGACAAAATAACGGTTTGAGTGGTGCGAATAAATTCGGAGATGATGCATGTGGTAGTGAATGTGATTTGGGACATTGTGAGGGAGGAAGGCAGGGAAGTGGGAGGAGGGAGGGGAGGCAAGTGTACACCAGTTGGGGATTTTGTGAATGGAGTTGTATATTGATCATCAACATGTATTGGCTAGAGTAACTGAAAAAGCTACCAAGCACATGGATTTGTATGTCAAAATAATAATATTTTAATATTTACACCGAAATATTCTTTAACTGTTTCAGCAACAGCAGCAGCAGCATCAGCAACAACAGCAGCGTTATTACCATGCTGTTCCACCGGTTCCACAGCAGCCGCAGTATCATCATGCCGTTCCAGCTGCACCTCATCAACAGCAGCAGCAGCAGTACTATCCATCGCATCAGGAGCAGTACGTGGCAGAAACGCAATATCCTTTGCAGCCTCCTGTATATAATCGTATGTCCTATTTCATGGTCGATTTTTTGGCATTTTTTGCAGAGCTCATATGCGGTCGCTTTTCGGTGCTTGTTATTGCACTGTTTTGTCAGCTGAGTTAAAAATTTGCAGCAGGAGCAGCAGCATCATCGGTACCGCAGTCGACTGTGCCTGGCGTGGTACCATCGATGTTTTCCAATTTGCCACAGCAGCAGCAGCAGCACTCGCGACACTATGAAATACCAGCACCTGCGCCTCCTCCACCAGCACCTTTCAATATTCCATACACCAGTGCCCCACAGTATTCCGGCCTGAATTTTCCGATGCCTCCACTTAGTACAATGGGCATCACTCAGCTTGCACCGCCGCCAACCAACGTATCATTTGGTTCATCAACGGCACCATCATTTGGAGGACAGCATTCAAGTGGCTATCCGATGGGAAACCCAGCATACAGCACAACTGGTTATCAGATGCCTGAAGAAAATCAGTATGGTATGCCACCTCAAGGTGAGTTTTATTTCACTTCTAAAGTTGTTATAGAAGTTTTTGAAAAACTGATTTTGTTTCTCAATCACAGAATGACAAGAGCTTTTTGCCAGGTTTTCTTGAAATTCATACGCATTTAAACAATTTATTAGTTTGTAAGAATCGAAAAATCGCAAGGAGTGCGAAGTGTTTTATTTCGTTTTCGTTTTTTGATTCCTGACATTCGTAGAAAAAATTTCACTTCCATTCTTCTTTGATCGATTTGGAACTTGTCCAATTTAAGTTTAATTTAAAATGGAACAGTAAAAACTTAATTTAAAGTGAAACTTAATTTAATTTAAATGGAACAGTAAGTTATCCAGTTTAGCCGTAGTCACAGCTATTCTGTTGGTAAGGGTGAACTGTGATGAACGCTATTTTAAGGCATAGATTTCAATGAGTAAAGGCGTCAGAAGCATTTTTTTGTACCAAATACAGATGTGCATTCCTGCAATGGAAAATGAGGATAGAATAATAATGGTATAAATCATGGAAAAATAACAAAATTATAATAAAAACAAAAAAAAAGCAATGTTGTAAATATGAAATTAATTCTAGTGACTTCATACGCCAGGGTTACTTTTGATTTTTAGATGACAGTATGAATTTTTATTGCCTTCTAGATAAATTGTTTAGAAGATAGTTATTTGTCTGTCTATCACCACTGGAAGAAGAACTCGTAAGTCGTTATTCCTCTATAGATTTTTTTTTTTTTTTTTGAGCGAGCATACCTGTGATGGTTAGCTTACATTGAATTTCAGTTTTATGAGTAATTGAGATAGCATCTCCTTTTTTATTCATAGGTTGTTTTATATTCTTTTTTTCCCCCAACCATAGCATGCGATAAAAGGAAATGACTCATGGAAAAGCACAGGGAGTGAAGAGGAGTATAAGGAAACAGGAGGAAAATGAGGTGTAAGGTAGGGCCGAAAGAACAGATTTGTCCAGTGGAAGTAAAATTTTTGAATTCTTTCAATTCGATCAGTCATAATGCATTTTTTCAGTGCCCACGACATATTCTGAATCGTAATCATGAAGTGTTCATGAAATATCTGGAACGAA